AACGACCCTTTCACAGGGGTCACCTAAGACCATCCTGCATATCAGATATTTACATGACGATTCTTAACAGTAGCAACATTACAGTTTTGAAGTAGCAACGAAAATAATTTTATGGCTGGGTCACAACATGGGGAACTGTATTTAAAGGGCCAGAAGGTTGAGAACCACTGGTAGAGGAACCCAAGCAAAGCTGGACCAGCATCCAGGTCGAGGAGCCCTGCCTGGTTGCTGGTTAAGCTCTCTTGTCTCTCAGCAGATGGAGCCGGGATGGAGGCCCTGACCACCCTGCCGGTGAGAATCCCAGTCACGTTCTGGGTGAGGGTGAGCAAGTGCCGGGGCCTCAGCCTCTGGAGCTCAGAGGTCGGGCCTTATCAGAACCCCCGGTGCCCAGGGCGTGGCTGGCATGGAGGAGACCTAACAAACACGTGTGCCAAGTTATCAGGGAGTGAGGGCAGCACGGGCCTGTCCTCGGGCGGTGGCCCTCAGGAGAGGTCCTCAGGTTGACAGGAGCTAACCGTTCAGGGGGATGATGCCACCATGGCAAGGGCAGGGGCTGGGGACACCAGCAGAGGACACGGCTCTCCCGTGGGGCCGGTGAGAGGACATGGCCCGCCCGGGGCGGCCCTGGGGGTGCTTGCCGGCCAGGCTCCAGCAGAGCGGCCTGCTAGGTAAGCAGGGCTGACCTGGGGCCTCTCTTGGCTTCCAGACCACCTGCCTCTTGCCCCCTGAGAGTGCCCACCTCCTTCTGGTGCCACCCAGCGGCAGTGAGAAAGTCTGCCCCGGCCAGTTGGGAGGCCACAGCTGGACCCCTGGCTGCCCCCAGACCCAGGAAACGCCTGGCGCGGAGGTGCCATGGTCCTGGGACCAGCTGCGCAGCAGAGCTCTGGGTAAGAGACTTCACCCCATTCGCCCAAGTCCCAGGTGAAAGCTGTGGTTTCCTGGGGCGCCGTTGCCCACTTCCCGTTCCCTAACTAACCGGGAGGACCTCCCAGGCCCTGGCCGCAGACCGCATTCCCAGGGTCTCTCTGGTCTGTCCCCAGGCCCGCCGCCGCCACCGCCGC